GCTGACGCCGCCTTAGTGACGTCAAGATTTTGAGTTTAGTGTATTTTTTTGTAGGGGTGTTTTCGTCAGCAATTTTCTTTTTTCGATTAGATAATTTGATTTTTGGCCTTTTTTTTTATTGATTTTTAATTTTTGCACTTTTTAATTGGGTTTAAAAGAGTTGGGTTTGTTTTTTTTTTAACTTCCAATAACCGTTTCGATGTTTTAGCCTTGAATACACTCAATTCTTAAAAAATTACTTTCTCGATGTTTCTGGCCTTGAAAACGCCACAGAAAATTAAATTGCTCGATGGCAACATTTATTTTAATTTTATTTTACAAAAAAAGTTGCTTTTTTTATTTTTTTAAACATTAAAAAAAGGTTCTCTTATATATTTTTGTTTTTTAAAATTTTTACTGTGTTTCTTACCACTGGTGGGGGAAAACAAGAATGAATTATAAATAGCGATATTTAGCTGCAAGCGTTTTTATTTTGCAATACTTTAGGTGCTGGCCCTAGCTCTGAGAGTCTTTTTTACTGGTGGCGGAAAACGCAGAGTGGTCGAAGGAACAATATGTTAGGGATCGTGGAATAAATGTAATTGTAACATTTTGTATGTAGTTTTTGTTTCTTTTTTGTGACTTGCGTACTGTCTTGTTAAGTGTTGACTGTAATGAAGGTTGGGTTAGGTTAGGTTTGGCCGCAAGGGCCCTTGTGATGCCTTGTGATCCCAGTAAAAGGTATGTCCGTAAGCTCGTTGAAGGTGGGACTGCTCGAACCATCTGGTATGGTTAAAGAATCTCATGAGGTTGGCTATTTTAATGCGTGGGATGACCGCAAATGCCTGAATCGTTAAAAATTGGCGCTGGGCACAAACACAAGAGGTATTCGATGGCCTCATCCTCGTATATCTGTCTACAACTACGGCAGAAGTCGTAATATAAGTATGATAGTCGACTCTGAGTCGTCTAGCATGATTGTCTATGAGGCAGTGTCCTGTTAGTGCACCAACTAGGATTGAAACATCCTTCCTGTTGCACTGAACTAGAACCCTTGCTCTTTTTCTTATCAATTTTACAGGTGATGATTGAGTTTCATCTAATCTCAGGGAGACTAGTGACATACTGTTTTAGAAGTAGCTTGCAAGTGGCCATGGGCATGCCCACCGTCGGCAGTCGTCTCTTCCTTGGCCAGTTCATCAGCTGTGCAGTTGCCTGAAATTTCCCGATGACCAGGCACCCATATGAGGTTGATTCTGAGTTGGTTGGCCATCTCGAGATCTGCGCACTTAGAGATGGTTTCCGAGGTGGATTTAAGGCAGTCAAGGGCTTTAGTGCTGCTTGGCTGTCTGAAAAAAGCATGATGTAATGTTGGATCCAGAACTGCGTCTTGTATTACTATGACCTCTGCTTGGAGTGTACTGCAGTGGTCTGGCAGTCGAAATGAGTGTTTGGTGTCCAGCTCAGGGGAGAAGGCTACCGCCCCGTGCTTGTTCTTTCAATTTTAGCCCGTCCGTAAAGATATTGGTGGCGTTTTCAACCCGATATGGGTTTGCCTAATCTGTACCACTAACCATACAACATATAGACTGGTCATTTCATACAACGCATTTGGACACAAAAAAACGGATCGCGGGAGGCCCCCCGTGCTCACAGCAGCAGGCCCCTGCACTTCGTGCGCGTTCGGGTTTTTTGCTCTCTCATTCTTATTCTCATTTTTATGCTCGCGAACTCATTGCACGAGTTCAGTCGTTCAGTCGCAGAGATGCGCTTTTTGAAAAAGGCTGCCCTGCGCTTGAATTCGTCTTTGTATGTATGCGTGATCATGCATTCTCGGCGCATCAAGAATATTTTGTCTTTTGCCACTTTTCAAACTTGGTACCCTAAGAATATGGGCGTATTTACTATTGGGTTATGATATAAATATCAATGTTATATGTTATAAAATATTTTTTTATAACATTTTATTTTTGTTTACAAATTCAATTCAGTGGTAGCAGTAAAATGTTTTAAATATATATGTATGTATTCGAATTTATAGAAATCAGTCCAATGAGATGGGAACAGGGCATATCGCAGTCGTGTCACTTGAAACACCGACTGCTCTTCAGTGGTTGAGAATACTTCAAACTAAATCAGTTCTTGTCGATGTTTTGCGAGCGGTTGGTGCCTGCATACCCTACCGACGATTGCTTTTAAGGGGAGCGGGCTTTTAGGACACTTGCTTTAAATGTTATGTTTAGTGATCTTTGGTTGATTTATATTTTAATGATTCGCAGTGTTATTTTAATTGTCTTTGAACAAGTAATAAATAATAAAATACTATTTACATTTTTGTAAAGGTAAATGAAACAAATATAAAAATCCACATTTTTTTTAATAATAATAATTTGTTTTAATGATAATAATTTTAGATTTTAATTGTACCAATATCTTGGATTGATTGGTACGATTGATTGGGGTGACGTTGTTGAAAGTCCCTTGTCTTGAAAAGCCGCCATCCCTTGGGATAAATATGAATTTGGATTCGAGCCACCTTTCAGGTATATGTTGCACATGTAGACAGTTATAATATATAAATGTTAACCACGGCATGATAATATAAAGGGTCGCTGGCAGTTCTGCTGGGAAAATCATCTTGTCCTGGGAATTTTAACGGCTTGAACGTGCTTATAGCCCCTGTTCCAAACTTCCAAAGACGAGGTGCCTGGTGGTAGGCTCTATGCTACTACAGAAACGGGCCCGTTCTTTCCGTTTGACCATTCTAATATGGTTTTTATATAAGCTTAATTTTGAGTAGTACTCTTTCTCTTGTTGAATTCTTGTCTACAGTCCTGATTGAGTTCCATTAGGGCAGTGGGCCACCATGCAGGCTGCCAGGTTGTTGGCCGCCAATTTGTCCGTATCATAAATCAGAACCTTGGTCCTTTCGAACCCGAAGTTCACAACGTTCTGTAGCGCTGCGAGGAGCTCAAGGCTCTACGAGTTAAGCCGGCCTAAGAAACTTTGAAGAACAAGTAGTCTATTGACTGCTTTTGAATGTATAGCCTTTGAGGCTAAACAAATGCAAACAGAAATGTAAGCTTTGTAGGGATGGTGTCCTCAAAATCAAAAGCATTTATGGTAATCCGATTAGGAGGGAGCTCGTCCGTTAACTAAAAGGATGGTTTTGGGCGATTTTTAAAATATTGGACCTTTTGGCGAACCTCTGCTTCGCTTGCTTTCCATTCAGAATCCTAAAGGTTTGCCGAACTGTAGCCAGAGTGAGCTTTATGTCTCCGTGAAGAGTGTTCATATGAACGTTTTAAATTACCTTTCATGATTTACCAGATCATCTAAGTAGGGGCAGAGCTGAGCAAGGCAATTGTTAAGCAAGGTGGGCAGTAGACAGCTGGCAAGGCTGCGATTGAAACTTAGTCGATGTAGCCTTCAAATAATTTTTGCAATCCTTTGGTAAAAGTTGTGCGGATGCAGTCTGTTATTAAAATGCCGGTTTCGCCGTGTGCTTCACCATCTAGATGATAGCTGCGGTATAACATGTCGAAGTGCTTTTTGTTAAGGAACTGAGTTTCATGCAGATTATGCCGTGAATCGCAATCAGCATAGCACAGAGCTGTTCGTAGGCAAGACGTGGTCTATTTGATTTTGCATAATGCTTTGCATATTGGTTGCACCGGCATAGACCACCGACTTTAGAGATGCCGTTGGTGGTAATTAAAGAGCCAAATAAAGACCTGGCAGCTCTGCGGAAGAAAACTTCTGATGTCGTTTTTAAGATAAAGTGCATGCTTTGCCAGTGCTCCTAGTGTTTTGTTTTTGCAACATTGCACGAGTAAATCATTGCAACAGTTTACTCTCTCTTCCTCCCGCTCTACTTTTTGCTGTTTTTTTAAATGTGTACTCATAAATTTAAATTTAATAACTTTGTTGAAATTTGTCCCAATTTTTATTGCATTTTCGTTTCTGTTATTGATAGGCTTTCTAGAGCCATTCTTTTTCTCTTTCTTTTCTCGAGTGTGTGGCTGTGTGGCCCGTATCTTAAGGGGGTAAACTGGTCTATAAATTTGAAAAAAAAAAAACTATTTTTTTGCATATTTTGAAAGTTAAGACTTTAAAAAATAATTGAAGATTTTTCAGAATTCGAATTATTTTCGGAGACACAGCCAATTCTGTGACGTGGCGTCAGAGTCATTAGAGTTGTTTCCAAATCTTTAAACGCGTTTTCTCGAAACTATTTTTTTTAGTGTAAATAACATTTTCACGTGTTTTCATTTTTATTTCCAGTTTTGCTCAACCGATTTCGGTACCGTCGGATTGTTGAAGTATATAGGTGGTTAGATTCGTTTGAGTTCCATTTTCAAGATAAAGTGATAAAATTATTTTCGGTTTTCAAGCGCCTATTTTTTAAGAATTATTTAATGTTATTTACACTTAAAAAAAAATGGTACCTCACAGGTATGAGGGAAACGATCTGGTCCGAAAATCAAGGTTTGATCTCTGGACGATTTCATTGATTTAAATTTGTAAGCCAGTGAAAAGGTGGCGAAGACGGATGTCACAAAATTGTAGAGGTACATATTTCCAAATTGTTTTTAATCCCTAAAGCCCATTATTACTTCTCAGTTGCATGAAAGGTGTTCCTAGCTGATATCACCTTGTCAACAAGGTTTTGTTAGGTGTAAGATGGGAAAGGGTATTATTAGCGGTTGAATGATCTATTATATGTTTTTGCTTGGATTTACTTAGCGGTGGTTGAAAAATTTGATGAGCTTTATACTTCCCTTGCCCGCCATAATATTAAATATTGTTCTCATCGTTGAGAATCCAACTATCAAGTATAAAACATTTCTTCTTTTTGAAGTAAGGTAAGGTAAATTTGTCTTCTTACCCTAGCTCAGTTTACCAACGTATAATAAAACTAGGTTATAATTTTATAAATCCTATTGATGACATAAGCAAAAATTCTTGTAACCTCTGGTACTCTTTAGTGTTCTAACAAAACATTTCATTTTTATTTTCAGAGCTATCTATTATTAAGCAAAAGTCTCTTAAAATCGATCAAGAGCTGCAGGTATCGCAAAAAAAAACCAAGGACTTACAAATATTTATTCAAAACTTTACATCAAAATTGGAGCTTCTAAATGACAAAATATACAAAAAACGGGTACATCATGATTTTCAGGAGACTGAGTTCGAGCACGAACAGTCTGAGCATACCCAAAAACTGAAGGTAAAAGTGGGTCTCTTAAATGAATTTTCTAAAAATCATTATTTAATTTTAGTTGGCTGAGCGCGGAATATTGAAGACGGAAGGAACCATTAATGATCTACAAAACGAAATTGAGCTTTACAAATATCTCGTTGTAGATAACCATAGGGAAACGTTATCGTGGGAAACAAAATATAAATTAATTGAAGAAACTATTCAATGGTTGAAATTACAGCGATCTGTAAATGGTGAAATCGGGGTAATGAAAACTGAAATACATCGTATGAATATTAGATATGGTCAACTTAAACGGGCACAAGAGAGACTTGTCTTAGATCTAGAACATTGCGTTATGCATCGCGAACAAATTTTTGTCAACGCTTCAGTTAAAGAACACGTACAAACAAAAATTAAAAAATGTAAAAACACCACTCAGATTCAGGTGAGACTTGATGAAGTTCATAACAGGGCAAAAATAATACGAAATGAAATAAAATTTTTATCGGAAAAACGCCTAATCGATGATGTCAATAAAATTGAGCGTATGATTTATATGTTACGTAGAATACAAACAGATCTTAAAGATGTCATAAAAGATGACGCCAGCATCCAAGATCGAATAGAAGAAGGCATTTTAGCTAAGCATGCCAATTTGGAGCAAATAGTACGGAAACAGATCAAAGCAAAGGCTTATCGAAGACTTAATATATTAACTATACAACAAAAAATAGTTCGATCAGAGAAGACATATCAACTGGTAATACAAAAGCAAAGCGAGCTGAACGACACCCTTATGGAAATTAACCAAACTCTATTAATAGACTTTCCTGATAAAAAAACGTATTTTTCAAAAATATTTCATGTTCTTAAGGAATAACAGTATTAACGTATTATAAAAAAAAAATCCTTAAAATTATTAGTTCTTCAATGAAATAAATGTTACTTAAATATTCAACAGTTTATTTTATCCACACTGCTACAAGCCAGTTAAATAATAATTCACTTAAACCAATTTTTTAATTTACTAATGCTGTATTTACAGATTCTTTTCAATAAATAATTTTTTTCGATTGAAAAAATAACTACTTGTATTGATAAATTTTCTAGTTCTATAGGCTTAAATACTTTTTAATTCACGCCTTATTCACGATGTGAAAATAATTTTAGTTTCTAGATAAGGATTTATTTTAATTTACATAATTATTAACACTGACGTTGCTCACACGGATTTTAGTAAAGTGTTTGAATCTGTAAGAACCAGCAGACGGCGACATCAGACCAAGCTCCGGAGTAAGATAAGCAGCAGAGATCAGAGACAGGCAGTACTGAGTGCGAAGGTTAGGGAGAATAAAAGGAAGATAAATTTGTGAAATTAAACACCCCAAGTGCTGGGAGTAAAATTTAGTGAAGTTCGCGGAGTGTTTTCCGGGTTGGCCAGGTTGCCGTATTGCGTCTCCGAGGTCTGTTTTTTCTACGCAACGCGGACACCAACCCTACCCACGTGCTACTCCAGGTCGGACTAGTTCTCGTGTTGCGTCTCCGTGGTCTGTTTTCTCTACGCAATACTAACGCTTACCAGACCGGAGAAAAGCGCGGGAAACTACCGCCGGCCTTTTCTACTCACATCCAGGTTAGGGACAGGCTAATAAAAATTAGTAAACTTCGGGGAGTACTTTTTCGGGTTGGCCAGGTTGCCGCATTGCGTTTCCGAGGTCTGTTTTCTCTACGCAACGCGGACACCAAAGCTACCCACTTGCTACTCCAGGTCGGGCAAGTTCTCGGGTTGCGTCTCCGAGGTCTGTTTTCTCTACGCAATACGAACGCTTACCAGACCGGGGAAAGGCGCGGGAAAACTATCTCCGGCCAGGTAAGGGACAGGCTAGTAAAATTTAGTGAATTTCACCGAGAGGCTTTTCGGGCCAGTGAGGCTTCTGAGTTGCGTCTCCGAGGTTTGTTTTTCTACGTAACACGGACGACCAAAGCTGACCGCGTGCCCATTCACGTCGGACAAGCTCCCGTATTCCGTTTCCGAGGTTTACTCTGCGCAATCCGAGCGCTTGCCGGACGGCAAATTTCCGTCGATTTCCCCGCGCCCTCTCCCTCGCTCCGCGTAGGGCCTAGTCGAGATCTCCGCAAGTTAAATCTACGCCGGTCCCGTTTTCGTATTGCGTCTCCGAGGATTTGTTTACTCTACGCAACACCGACGACGATGCCGACCACATGATCCCGATAAAAAATGTTGTGTTTCTACAAATTTAACTGAGGACTCTGATCGCCACCCCAGAATATGTCAGCAGCCGCGTTCGCCGAAAAGCTTCGTGGATGGGGCGTCCTTTTCGATGGACAAACCGAGCCCCTGCACTTCATGGAACGAGGCAAGGAAGGCGTACGGAACAGCGACATCCCACGGGCCATCGCTGGCTTGCTATCAGGCCGCGCCGAAGGCTGGTACCGAGCCTACCAGATGCACGCCGTGCCATGGGAAACTTTCAAGCGGGAGTTCTTGAAGTTTTTCCTCCCTCCACGGTATTGTCAGCGCCTGGAGGATGCGATCAGGGCCCGCCAAATGCAAGGCGGCGAGCCTTTCAAGTTCTATGTGGTAGAACTACGCGTGATGATGCAGCGGGCGAACTACTCGTTCGACCAGGAGCTCGAAAGGATCTACGAGAACCTGCTGCCGGAGTATCAACTCTTCATAATGAATTCTCCTCGCTGGAAGGGTTGACGTAACTAGCCACCGCTTTCGAAATCGCTCGGGACCGAGACCCAGTAAGACAAGCAGCACTAGCTCCATCCGCCAGAGGTAGCTACGCTACGAGGAGCAGCCCTCCGCCCGGCCCTCGCCGACGAGAGCCCATACGACCAGCGGCGACGCCTTTCGACACACCGAGTCCAGCGATATCAAACCGGATGATCTCCCAGGAAGCGAAAACACCCTTCGACGTGGCCCGAGCCTGTCCTATACTGCTGGGACTGCGGGAAACGTGGTGTTCGCACCATTGACTGCTGCCACCAGTCGGGAAACAGCCGGGGTCCTCGCACATACAGGGAGTAGGCGGCGACCCACCCAGCGCTCCCCCACCGTTAAATCCACCTCTCCGTTTGATGGGAGGCCAGATCGTCGCCACGGTTCCCATCGAGGGACAACTCTTCTCGGCAACAATCGACACGGGAGCCTCCAGAAGCTTTGTTAGCGAAGCGGTCGCCAATCGACTCGATTCGGGTCGAAACATCAAAGAGGTTCGCACCCAAATATCCCTTGCGGACGGATCCCCGAAGGAAGTCACCAAGGCCCTGCACGCACAGGTACGCCTGACCCTCCTGGTCCTGCGTACGATATTGGACGAGGTGATCCTCGGGAATGACTTCCTCTGCAGCATCCGGGCAACCCTAATCTGCGGTCAAGTGTGTCTCCAGCTAGCCCCGCCTGACACACGAAGAGTCGACCCAGGCCCAGCCATCCGAGCGGCGATCACCCACCTTTCGGACCCACCGGCTTCTACCCAGCGGACAACAAGAACCAACGAGGGGGCCACAACGGGTCCCATACCCGCCCCAAGGCATCACATCACGTCGACCGCAGGACAGAACCCTGCCCCAGTTCCATCGGAGCACTCGCCACCACCGATCCTCCCCGACACTACCACGGAAATCACAGCGGCCGATGTCACCATCAAGGAAAGCAAGTACAGCCTCCAGCCACTACCGGATGCCGCCGTGGCCAAGAGAGGGAATCCTTTTCGGAAGTATCTACCGGATGCCGCCGTGGCCAAGAAAAGGAACCCTTTTCGGAAGTATCTCGCGGGTCAGGAACGCTTAGCCAGTTCAACGACAGGAACGTTTCCCGACGACCCGGATACGCCACAATCTTCCCCGAGAAGCCCGCAGGGAATCGGGAACTACCATCTAACCGCCCAACCGGACACAGAGAACGCTCAGTCGCGGAATCCCCGCCGGAATCGCTAGTGTCTGAAGACCTCTCGACGCGGAAACCCTCCGGTTCCTTCAAGAGGAGCATAGGCACTTCGACCATCTGCAAGGAACAACGGATATACCCAAGCACACCATCACTCTTCGGGAAGATAAGACGCTGAAACAGCGGAATTATCCCAAGAACCCGGCCATGCAGCGTATCATCAACGAGCAGGTGAACGAACTGCTGCAGGACGGACGAATCGAACCCTCTCGAAGTCCGCACAGCGCACCGCTGGTGCTGGTCCGAAAGAAGGCAGGGGACATGCGGATGTGCGTTGACTATCGTCAACTCAACGCACACTCCATACCCGTCGCGTACCCGCTTCTGCGCATCAACCATATCCTGGAACGTCTACGGAACGCCCGGTTCATCTCCACGTTGTACCTCAAAAACGGGTATTGGCAGATTCCCATGGCGGAAGCCAGTCGAGAATGCACCGCATCCACTGGCCCCGGACGTGGACTCTTCCACTGGAAAGTCATGCCGTTTGGACTTCACTCCGCCTCAGCGACTTTCCAACGAGCCCTGGACAGCGTCCTCGACCCCGATATGGAGCCCCACGCCTTCGCTTATTTGGACGACTTCATTGTCATCGGGGCAACGTGGGAGGACCATGCGCGCAATCTGAGGGAAGTCTTCCGGCGCCTTCGAGAAGCGAATCTGCGCTTAAATCGGGGTAAGTGCAAGTTCTTCCAAAGAAGATTAGTGTATTTGGGTCACCTGATCAGCGAGGAAGGCATCAGGACAGACCCCGACAAAATAGCGGCAATTCAGGGACTACATCCCCCGACTAACGTCATGGAACTTCGCCGCCATCTCGAAATCGCATCTTGGTACAGACGTTTTCTCCAAGACTTTGCCTCCCTAGTACAACCAATGTAAAGTCTTCTGAGGAAGGGAGTAAAGTGGACCTGGGAAGAACCCCAACAGCAGGTATTCGATTCACTTAAGGTGCGACTGACGTGCGCCCCTGTATTGGCCTGCCCAAACTCTGAGTATAAGTTCCAGCTTTAGGCGGTCGCCGACGCCCTCTCCCGGCAACCACTTTGAAGACTCCAGTTACTCGCGGAACTTAAGTGCCACTGCAAATGGATACGGAAGATGCAGGAGCAGGTCCAAAGACGTCCCGAGAAATTTCCGGACTACTCGCTGGATAATGGACAGCTCTATAGACACATAGGACATCCAACAGGCGTCAGGGTAGGCAACCCCTGGAAGCTGTGCGTACCCCGAGAACAGCGCCAACGCGTTTTAGGAGAATGCCACGACCATCCCTCCGCCGGGCACCTGGACATCCGGAAGACGCTCAGGAGGTAGGCGATCCGACTTATGGCCTGGACTTCATCGGGACGTGGTACGGTATGTCACTAGCTGTCTGACCTGCCAACAGTACAAGATTAGCCAGCGTAAACCAGCTGGCAAGATGCTGGAGTTCCGATTCCGAGAAAGGATCCTCTCTCGCCTTGGAGCCCCCAGGAGGTTGATTTGCGACAACGGCACGCAGAAGCATCCGGGCGTTCTGCCGCAACAACGGTATTCACCTGGAATACACCGCTCCGTACTCCCCCCAGCAAAATCCGACGGAGCTCGCCAACCGTACTATCAAAACAATGATAGCACAATATGTGGATCAGGATTATCGAACATGGGACCAGCTACTGCCCGAGATCTCCCTCGCCATAAACACTAGCATCTCAGATAGCACGGGGTTTAGTCCGGCTAATCTAGTACAAGGTCGGGAGCGTAGGTTGCCAGGTGCCCTCTTCGATGCGGTCGCACCCGACTACATGCCTCGCCACTGGACCCAACGGAACGAGCCAAAAGGCTTCAGGAAGCGTTCCGCACCGCTCTGGAAACCAATCAGATAGTTTCTCAGAAACAAAGTCGACACTACAACCTGAGGGGACGCGAGTGGCGACCACAAATAGGTTCACTGGTGAAAGCCCGTCTTCACCATCTGTCCAAGGTCAACAAGGCTT